GATTTAGAATATTATAAATTTTAATGAGCAGTTTGGCTTAGTTGAGGAGTTATAGATATTTTATTAATACTATCTCGGGTGTCATGTTCAAGGCTACCGTAAGCTCAAGTTTATCCTGTAACACATGAACTTTTTTGCATCGTTCAATCCAGCTCGATCTCTACATTCAGAAAAACATATATTTTGCCAAGTAATTTCGCTTAGCTGAGGAGATATAGTGATTTTCTCAGACCTATTTCAATTAGCGCAGTCGCAACTTAGGCATTGTACTCAAAATGATAGCATTGAAAAAATTCCGGTCTCATCAACAAATGTTATCATTTTGATGAATTTGATCCAATTAATGCATTAGATCCAATTTCAGCTAAGGATCAACTTGAATCAGTTTTTCAGAAAACTCTTCTATTTCAGTGTTTTTATTCGCGCTAATCGGAACACTTACGGCATCACCAGTTCACGGAATATGGCATAATGTCCCTAGAGAATTGCATCTGGTAAGGGACAAGTGCATTCGTTTCTTCTTCTTCGCGAACAAAAAGCTTAAAAATCATTTGAAATTTCATTTACATATCAATCGCTTTCTCCATTTTCCGCTTGGAGAGTTTTGTGTGTTCAAAATCTAAAAACTCTCGTTGGTACGGTAAGAAATTTCGGATCCAATTGATTCCAGAGCTCTTTCGATCCATTCGTCATTCATGCCAACGATCATGCTCGGTTTCAATCTGAGTTCATTGATACGTTCCATATCATTTACCATCTCTCAATACCTTTCTCTAGATCTTTTGAGGTGTTCACATAACAGGTTACTACTCAAATAAGAAAATCCTTTTCACTGAGAGATAATGGCGAAATCCGAATCTCTCAACTGCAAATGCAAATATCGCCTTGAATAAGAGAGTGGAATAAGATTACATTTAGGAGATTTCATTTCAACAAGCGCGTTATCAGAAATTCATCCGCAACGTGCATATGAACACACCAAATGTTCAACTGGTACTAACGAATTTTGTGAAAAACACACACGGATAAAATAATAATCATTGTTCATCGTTGCGTATCAAACGAACTCAATTAGGCATTTAGCCGAAGTGCTGAATAGCAATTGTTTGATTTTGCAACTGCTTTTAGTTGACAATGAATGAATGTGTTCAACTGTTGTTGATATGGTTCTATACGTACAGATTTCTCTTCGTTCAGTCGTTGCGAAATCTTGTGTTGCTCTTAATTGCGGCACGGATCGTTTTTCACAATCGCCATGAATAACGTTCATAAACCGTAAACAAAAAGCAACGGTAATGACAAAAGAAGTTGATGCTGTTGCTTGCGAAATTGATGATATTGCGAAATTGATGATATTCACACAGTTTACTGAGAAACTAAAGCCGTGGCGGCGCTGTTATATACTTATTTATCCACTTTTTGCTACTTTATTAGTAAACAATAAATATTAGTGAATATGAATGAACTGCGAATGTTTGTAGTCAACTCAAAACGAAGATATCAGTGAAATTCTATCAAATGCTTTATTTAAAAAATTGGGAATCTCCGGGATTGCTGAGAAAATAAATGCTAGGTGTAGGATAGAGATTTATTAAATTCTGGTGATTCAATGTTTGCAGTGATCCCTTGCAAACATTTCTCCCTACCAATGCAGAAGAGGCATTCCTTTGACTAGAAAGTATTATTTGCTGGCTTTTCGCTGCCCATCAGTGATCATCACATCAGTAATATCCGTTTTTTGAAAGCTTACTAAGGTGCCCTTATATAATGGAGAATTTTAAGGCACCTGAATCTTTGAAGTGTTCAAAAGAATCAGTGTAGATGAATGAAGCCTAAGTGAACGCATCTCTCAGTTATTGTTTTCATTAAAATCGTTAATGTTGAATTTCAACTACGAATTTAGGCCGCTCATTAATTAGAGCCACGGCCAAAACACGTGTCAGACATGTTAAATTACGAGTTATAGTGTTCGGTCAACTAAAATACCATCAGCAAGTTGTCGTGTTTTCATGAACATGCGCTCTAGGCTTGACCAGCAATATATTGCTATATTGCTTGACTTAACTTGATATATTTGATACTTAACTTAAATTGATATATTTGATACTTAACTTAACTTGATACTTAACTTGATATTGCTTGACTTGAAATATTGCTCGACTTAACAAAACGTATTACATTCATATCTTATGCATGGTTTTTCAGATCTTTGATGAGTGTTGTTTTATTATATGAATACAAATTAACTGATATACAAATTA